GAGAATGGAAACGTGGGAAGTTGCCAACACTTAGTGAGCACCTGCATGTGCCACATCTGAGATGTACCCAACAGCATCCCTTCCTCCCGGCCTGCGCTGGGGGAGACAGATGCATGAACCAGTGTGATGATCCCATGTGAGGAGCACAGAGACAGAAGTGGGCCCAGAACACGGCGCAGCTCAGAGGAGGGGCTGGTTGGCAAAGGTTTCCCCATGGATCTGGCTCTTGAACTGATCCTGAAAGGTGAGGAGGAATTAAACGGACCAATAGGAAAGGGACAGCTGAGGCCTTTTTCAGACCCACAGGTGGTGTGTTGTGGTTGAGTACCAGATGGTCATAGGAACTGATAGCTACGAAGACGTAAAGGCTCTATAGTGAAATGCTATGTACAGATTTTCAACTTCATCTTGAAGGTGGGTGATTAGAGCATGTTAAATGCAAGAGTGACCGGGTTTAATCTGGTTTCAGACACAGCAGTCTGGAGCAGTGCCTGGAGTCTAGATATTGGGTCCCATTCAATCTACAGTCCAATAGCATTGAAAGTCATCTTCTTAAAAGTTAAATAAATCTTGTCAGTCCCCTCCTTTAAAACCCTGGGTTCCCCCTTACCAGTGCCTACCAAATCTGCAGGGTCCTACCCCTGGCCACCTTTCTATCCTCGTCTTTTGACAATTGTCTTTTCTTAGCTTTCAAAATGTTCTGAGCTCTTTCTTGCCCCAGATTCTTCATTCGTGCAGTTCTCTCTTCACCTGACTGGCTCCACTCTTGCTTCAGGCTTCAGAGAAGCCTTCCCTGTATGGAAATCCTCTTCTCCAATTGTCTTCTTTCCTATCACTTACTACATGTAAGGACAGGGCCTGAATCTGTTTTTAATTAAATTACTGAACAAATGAATAAATAAATGAATACTCCAGGATAAGGATGGCAAAGGTTTAAAACAGGGAAAAGAGCACTGTATGATAGAAAAAGATCGGAGAGGTGCTAAAGAAGAAAAATTTGGTGGAATGATCAGATGAGAAGAGTAGGGAAAGCATCCAGGATGATGCCTAGGTTTTGGGTACGGCATTCATGGGGGTGATGTTAATCAGCGCTGACCCAGACAGAGAAGCGGAGGGAAGCAGGTCCGGCCGAGCCAGATGACGAGCTCGGGTTTAGGAAGGACGCGGTACCTGGGAAGTGCACCACTGGAGACGGCAGTAAGAGTCGGCACAAGGTGTGCAGTTTGTGAGAAAGTCTACAGGGACTTGGGCGTGACTAGCACACAAACACCAGTGGAAGCAGTGGAAAGATCACTGTCTAAACCTGTTTCAAGAAGCAGAAAACTAAGAGACTGCAGAGAGCAAGGAGGAACACAGAAACGGAGTCACAGATGCCTAAGAGGGAAATTTCTAGAATGCCAAATGTATGGGACCAAATGGCAGACAAAAGCTGAAAAGAGCACATAAAATTTGGCGATTAAAAGGTGTCTCAGGCCCTGGCTGGCATGGCTCAGTGGATCCAGTGCCGGCCAGCAAACGGAAGCGTCACCAGTTCAATTCCCAATCAGGGCACGTGTCCCAGTTTGGGGGCTGACAAGAGGGAACAGGTGGATGTTTCTCTCCCTTTCCTCTATCTCTCCCTCCTTTCCTCTATCTCTAAAAATAGAACAATAAAATCTAAAAGAAAATATTTTTTAAAAAGGGGTCCCTCGGATATTTGATATTGTTGGCAAGATTTTAACTAGTAACTAAAGAGATAGTTTTTGAGCAATGGGGAAAGGACTCTCTCCCTAAGAGGCAGCAAGACTTTGCTAGGAGTAAACCATGCCTGCTTATCCTCACTTCCTTTTTAACTCGGTCAGCAGATGACAGATCACAGAAATGGTGTCATTATTCAGAGAGACATTTGAAAAAGTCTCACTATCCTGTTTCAGGACAGCAAGTCTTATTATCCTGAGCTCGATGATAATATAATTCGGTGAACTCTACCCAAAGAGCTCTGACTAATGGACTGATGCTCTTGAACCAGTCTTTTCTGACTTATTAATTTACCTGGATAAGACTGGGGAGATATCAACTCTGGTGATACCATGAAGCTAATCTATGAGATGAATGAATCTAGATCCAGGCTAATTTCAATGCATTGGAATGATGAGCAAATCTTAATGAGATAAAATTTAACAGAGCTCAAAGGGAGGTCCTCCACTAAGTTCCAGGAAAAGGCACTCAAATAGCAGCTGCAGATCACAGTGCTTTACTGTTTTGGGTGAAGAGACTAAGGAATCACACGAATCCCAGGAAGACTCAGCAACGGAAGGGTGCACGGAACAGCGTCGTGTCTGGACAAGGATGCTCACAGCCCCACGCTCCACTCTTCCTGTGAGACACCTGCAGTGCTTTCAAAGGGACTCTCGTAAACAGAACATGAACGGGAGGGAGTATCTATCATGGAGGTCACTCAAAAGCATGTCTCCACTCACTTGATCAAAAGTTAAAGGAACTGGGAAGGTTTAACTTTGAGAAGACAGGGACACACGATGTCCATCTCCACACTTCTGATGGGCTAAATTGGAGAGGAGACACGGAAAAGATACTTGGAATGTGTGGGCTTGGAGAGTGGAACTCTCCAAGAGAGAAAGTTAGATGTGAGTAGACTTTGGCTTCATATAAGGATGAACTGTCTCACACGGCTATAGAAAAATGTAATGAACAATTTAAGGAAGCAAGACTCTCAACCTGGAACTCTCGCTCCATCAGAAGCAGGATGACGAACCACCTGACAGAGAAGTTGCAGGGGGAGTGTCCACATTCGTTCAGTAGAGGGTTGATCACATGACCTCTAAGATCCCTTCTTAACCTGAAATTCTACAATATTCTAAAAATAAAACTTTGCTATGTAAAATATGTAGCTACAAGGAAAAATATTAAAAGAACAAAAAGCATAAACATTCTAAAATAAATAAAAAAAACAATTAGTTACATGACTTAAGGTATGCTTCCCAAAACTCTAGCTATTCCGTTTATTTATCTGGCCTACTTCCAAAACTTGTCAGTGCATCTGAAAAACCACTTCCCAGGCCACTTGTGGAAGGCTCTGATTTAGTGCATCTGGGCAAACTGTGATGTTTAAAAAAAATGCTACTGGTCATTCTGATGCTCAGGCAGTTTTAAGACCACTAAAATTCTGGGTTTACTTATAGGGCACGTATATTTTGCAAAAGAAATATGTATGTATGTATGTATGTATGTATGTATCTGCCTGTATGTAGGTATTTATGTATTAGAAATGTAATAATAATAAGTCTAATCAACTTGCTAATATTTAGGGCTACTGTTATTTAATATTTAAGCACCATTTCTATGCAGGGAGCAAACTCATCTTTGGTATTCAAACTCATCTTTATATTCAAAGCTTAGAATATAAAAGTTAAAAATATCACATTTTTTAAAAGATTTTATTTATTTATCTTTAGAGGGGAAGGGAAGGAGAGAGGGAGAGAAATATCAATGTATGGTTGCCTCTCGTGAGTCCTCTGCTGGGAACTGGCCTGCAACCCAGGCATGTGCCCTGACTGGGAATTGAACCGTGATTGTGTGGTTCGCAGGCCCACGCTCAATCCACTGAGCTACACCAGCCAGGGCAAATATCACATCTTTTGCTTTATAACTTTCAATGTAATGAACAGATCATCTCTAGCTTTTCAGCATTTCTGTCAGATAAAAAGTTTTAAAAAGTAAGGAGATACTCCTTTCTAAACAAGTAACAAGAAATTTCAGAAAATTAGTAAGAAAAAAACTAAGAAAATGGATTTGTTCATATACACATACACATACTTTTTAGCTTAAATAACTTATTTTTTTACCTTAGAGTCCTACTCGGATTGGCAGTGTCTCAGAAAAACATAATAAGAAAACACACCCTTCTAAGAGCTTACTAGTGTTAGGAGAAACAAGTGTGGGAACAATAAATAAATCAATGTTCAATTTCTTAAAATTACAAATATTGAAACTTTGATGTTTTTAAGCTTTTGTGTCCAACTTACAAATCTTGTTATTCTTTTTATAAATCTACTAAACAAAAAATTATTTTAAGGAAGCTTTTAGTGCTTACTCAATTAAATTCAAAGTGGTCATTCATTCTTAGTTAATGTAGTAAGAATGGCATTATTAAAGTACTGATTAAATTTTGATTCTCTCCTTGTGCAAAGAGGAAGACTCATTCTAAGAGTGGTGTAAATTTATAAGAATGAACTCCTTTTCCAGAGGAGGACAGTAAGCGGTCCTGTTGGTCGCCCATCTGTGCCCTGGCTGTTCCCACGAAGGGTTTAGAGGGACATGGCAGAGCCCCGGCATCCACAGCCTCGTAAACTCAAAGGACAAATCCACTGCCTGCGACTTTCTGGACTTTGAAGCAAATGGTTTCTAAGAAGCGTTTCTGGCTAACGTTTCTCTCCCTTTCCCTCCCAGAGGATGCAGGGACTTACTGAAAGAAGAGAGAAAGAAAGAAATCATTCCGCAGGCGGTTTCCTGTAGAGTAAAAATCTGGCGATTGGTGTAGAATGAAGGCATTCATTCACACAACACACTAAATCCAAAAGAAAGGGACTTTGTATATTCATAAAAGCAATGACGTTATTTGTATTTTCTGAAAGTTACACTTGTAAAGTCATTTTGCTGAAAATAATTCTTATGTAGACATTACATTAATTGATGTAATAGTGACACTGTAATTATGGTTAAGAAATCAAATGCAAAAGTCCTTTTACTTAGTTTCTTGGTGTATGGCAGGTTGCCACATGCATCTCAGAGTGAAAATAGTCACAACTGGCAATGAACTGGCCAAACAGATACTAAATTTTAATTAATGTTTACCAGAGAAGAGAGTTTTACCAAATTCTAAATTGGAATTGAAAGCAGACAACTTCTAAATTAACCCTTGTGATGCACATATAATTCCTTTTCATTATGATTTTGACAGGTTAAATATTTCCAAAACTTTTTTTTAGAAATGCTCTACTTACAGATGCACAAGACTATGAGGAAAAGGAGGTATGTGGCCAATTCCCGTAAAACGCTTTTCAGGTACTTCTCTCGGTTAGTGTTGCTTTCCTCCATGAGTCTTGTTCCCCAGAGACCTTTAAAATAACAAAAGAAAACTTTGTGACTAGCAAAGGAAAACACATAAAAGGGTATAACCTTTAAAGGAGATTCTCTGTTGTTGTTGTTGTTATTATTATTATTTCAGCATGCTCTGAGTGTAACGTGGAAATCGTTTTAGCAGGAGTCTTTAGTAAAAATTCAGAAAGGTAACAGGAAATGAGATAGCTAAAAGAGAGATTAAATAATTGTGCACATACATGAGCTCCTTCTATAGAAGAGAGGACACAACCTGGTAAGTATCCTGTTACTAAACTTAGTACATGATGAAACTACATGGCAATGGTATCTTTTAGGTCACCCGTGAGGAAAAGAAGTCCTGGTAGGAGCATCATTTCCCTCAGGAAACATCTATCAAGTTTCTAACACACTGGCTGAAAATCTCTGTATCCATGTCTATTCATTAAGAAACTGTAGCAACTGACTATACTAAACATGCTTAGCTTAACAGGTTTTTAAAGTGCCCATTAACATACGATCTTTAAGTTAAGCATAATAACTTTGCCGACTTTTGTCTCTGGAGAAAGTAAAGTCAGCAACCATGTTCTATATTTTCACAGATGGAAAAAGTGTTGGGCTGGCTGAGCAAAGATGACATAACCCTCCTTGAGACTGCTGGACAGAGTTACCGCAGTTCTGGACTGGCAGACAGACATGGTGGCCGTCCAAACCCCTACTAATGAACAGTGTGGTAGAGTCACATTGCTGGCTACTTGGAAGAGACTTAATGTTTTCCAAAAAAGACAAACTTCTCCATCTTTTCAGTTAGATTAGGTTGCCTGTTAATGGAAGCCGACCTGCTCCCTGGTTGTCTCTTGCTTTTATTCCACAGACATTAACCCCTTTGATCACTGAAACTCACAGAGCAACTGAAGCCACAACCAAGCCACACAGAGAACCAGGAAAAAAGTGGTACATGGTCTTCCACTTTGCAGAAATGCCTTCATCACTAGTGTTCATGTATTCTTATGGCTTATAATAATAAATTCATTCTACTCCTAAATTTGAGTCTTTCATTTCCTTTTGTTTTTTCTTCCAAATTTCCTTTAGGAAAACCAGCATCTGGATTCAAAGACACTGTGTTACACATCGTAGGTTTCACCACACTGAAAGTGAAGCATAACTTATGACCAGGTTTGCTTCTGCCAAGATCTGGTAGTTGTCAAGGAATTACTCACTCAGAAGAAATGCAGCAAAGCAGAATGTTTGTTCGCCGAAACTAACATATTAAAGAATTATTACAAATTTATATGACATGGAAAATTACAACTCAGAATAACACAGAGGCAGCCAAATGTTAGGCTCAGTAGCCCTGGACACAACCACATCATTTCTTGGGGTACATTTCTTTCAGCGGCCAGGCCCAAGAGAAGCACGTAAGAAACTGTCAGTCTCTTTTCCATCAGGACAGACTGTTGCCTTGCCTCACTGGGTCAGTGATTCCACTCTTTCCTGTGGTTTATAAATAATATAAACTAAGTCATCATTCCTAATATTTACAAGTGGTACTGCTTGACCTATAAATAGAGAAACCAAACTCCTTTCACATGGATTCAAGCTAAACTGACAACGGTCTATGGCAATTAAATTCTAGCCCTTCAATGAGACATTTCAAATGAGAAGAACCATGTCCCTTTGTTTACACTTTTATTTTATTTTTTAAAATATGTTTGAATTTTAGAGACAGAGGAAGAGAAAGAGAAATACTAATGTGAGAAACATTGACTGCTTGCCTCCCATACACTCCCCAACCTGGGATTGAACCCACGACCTTGGTATGTGCCCTGACCAGGAATTGAACTCAGAACCTTTTGGCGTACGAGGTTCTGAAGCTCCAACCAATCGAGCCACACTGGCCAGGACTATTTATACTTTTACGTAATATACTTGCATGCATTTACTTTTCTAAATTACTCTATTTACCTCCTCAAATACTTATTGCTTTAAAAGTTCTGTCTAATTTCCTTATTGGGTGTGTAGGTTGAGTCTGGGTACAGGGACCTCTTTCCATTTTGACAGATGAGAAACGGCTGTACCCGCAAGTAGAAAAACCAGTAGTCCTGTTGCTACCTAGTTCTCATGTTTACAGAGCTAACAGAGTGAGAATGGTTAAGGAAAGAGTTCCCAAATGGCACCAGTCTTCAAAATCAATTGTCTTTTCCCGCAACTGTCCCAGTTGTGGAGGGAGTACCTTCTGGGCACTCCATGTACTCCCGTTCAGCACATAAGGTGTCTGCAGCTGTCACAGAGAACATGCTATGCGGGGGACACTGGGCAATAGCCTGCTTCCTTCCTCTTCACCAGGGTGCTTGGTTATTGCCAGAGCCCAAAGTCGGACCGTGTCACCGAGGGTGCATATTCCCTTGTGCGGTGTTACTTGTGAATATCAATATAAAGGAACTCAGAGATGGATAATCCAAAACACAAAAGACATCCCAAATAAATAACTGACTTTGAAAAAAATGCTACCATCTTTGCAAGTATTTTATCCAAATGCTTCCAAAATCTTTTTACTTTGTGATACATAAAAAATATCAGAGAGAATGATACAGTGAAGTCCTATGTATCTCTCAACCAGCTTCAACAATTGTCAACTCAGTATCATCCTCCACTCTCCCATTCTCCCTCCCCATTATTTTGAAACTAATCCCAGCTATCATATCATTTCATCTGTAAATATCTCAGTTCCGTGGTAAAAAAGACTCGGTGTGGATCTTTTGCCTCAGATTAACTCTGTCCCATGTAAAACACACTAACCCCTTATGTCTTTATTGATCATGACAAAAGACAATGTAGGGACTTGGAGTCAGAGCTGAGTTCAAATGAGGGCTCAGCCACGTATGGGTTACGACCTGCCTAATCCCATGAGCCTCCCACTCTTCATCTGAAAATGGGAGAGGGCACCTCTTTAAGGGTTGCTCTGGGAATTATGTGTAAAGCTTGGAGAGGGGCGGAAGAGGCCTGTCTGTGCTTCAGAAGTAGATCTATAAGATGTCCTACTCCTGGTGCCGAGATGTCAGAATAGTGTCGAGAGCCAAATTTGTATGGACTTTTGAGTTCATTCTGAATTGTCTGACTAAATGCTCACTGCCTTTATATCATAGGCAGAATCTTGCTTCTGTGCTCAAACACATGTGGGCCTCGTTTAGACAAATACAATCCTCCTTAATATTCATTTGAACTGCAGGGATACTGTCAGAGAGAGCTGTGATTTTATTACTCTTGGTCCATTTCCTAAAGAACAGTCATTACATGACATTGGCTTCTGAATCTCAAATTCTAGTCAGCCCTCTCCTGAGGTGCAGGCAAATACACACACACATATATGTCTATGTATACACACACATATATGTCTATGTATACACACACACACACACATATATATATGTCTATGTCCCACTAGTTCTGACCTGCATGTTCCACAAACAACGCACACTCACATATCCCTCCATGAGATTTGTCTTTCTCTTTCTCTTTCTAGAAACATATTTTCCCGGTTTGGGTGAGTGGTGCCAAGCCAGGAACATGGGTTTCATTCTAGAACAGGCTCTCTTCCTAACCCTCGTAGGGAGCTGGACCATGACCCTGGCAGCTTCTCTCTCTGTTTACTTTAATGTCCTCCCACGCCAGCTCACAGGGCCCCGTTGCCCCCTTGTCACCCCTCTGCATCAGGCCTCTCCTCACCTATGTTCCCAGCAACCAGCACCATCCGCCTTACCCCATTCTCTGCATTCTTGCTAGAATCATCTTCAGACTGAAAGGGGGTCATTTCAGCCCCCTGCCTGAAGCCCCCACTGGCTTTAACTGTCTACAAGAAAAAATATCAAAGAGCTACAGGCTCACTTGGTCTTACTTCTGCCATTTTTCCCCTCATCCACCTCCCCCCACCCCAACCTCCATCCTTCAAAACACAAATCAAGTTTAAACTCCTCTGGCCTCACTTCTTTGAGTCCCTCCCATACATGAGGACCTGGCATTGTAATTAATTACATCTCTGTTTTTCTCTACTAAACTCAGAGCTCCTTGGGAGTTGGGATATCATATGATTCATCTCTGTATCCTTAGTACTATGCACAAAAGAGACTCTCCATAAATGTTTGTCGACTGAACAAATTTTGCTACTAGCACCACCTTATCACACAGTAGCAACACTCCCTCAAAAAAAATCCCCACGGCAATAAAAATACAACATCTCATTGTTCCAAATTTGTGCAAACAAAAAGGGAAAAGGAAGAAGTGATGAGACACGGTTTGAATTAAAATGAAGGAAAGTCACAATAGCCAAGACAGGAAAACAGCCGAAGTGTTTGTTCATCAGCTGACGAATGGATAAACAGAATGTGGTACATACAATGGAATGTTACTCAGACACCAAAAGGAATGAAGTTCGGATACACGCTACAACACGGATAAACTGTCAAAGCATGAACTAAGCCAGACAAAAGAGGACAAATACTGTATGATACTAATAATACCTGAGGTGCCTAAAATAGGGAAACTCATAGAGACAGAAAGTAGAATAGAGATTAGCAGGAGCAGGGAGGAGGGGAATGGGGAGCCGGGGCTTAATGGGTAGAATGTCTGTCTGGGATGATGAGAAAGTTCTAGAAATGGACAATGATGGGACAACAGAGTGAATGGAAAAGAGGTAACAGCTTAGCCTACCCTGACTAATATGGCTAGTACTTTATGATTTCCCCAGAAAACAAAAGCATATATGTCTAAAATAACAAACAGAAAATGACTTGAACAAGTTAGTACACAAATTCATATACAAAACATATTCGACTTTGGAAATTCAGAAAATATTAATAACTCATGTAGAGTGTCAAATTGTAACGTTGCACTAAAAAGAGTTTGCTAAGACAAAAGTAAACTTTTGTTTACTTTTTTAAAGGTGCGTTGGGGGTACCTTTAAGTTTGGGGCAGTGTTTAAATTTTTCGGCCATCCTTCATTTGCTTTGGTCTGGGCCTTCAGCACCTCCTCGCTAGCAGCCTCCTGCTTGGTGCTCCTGCCTCTCTGTGCAAGCACCCCCACGCAGCACACTGACTGCCTCACATTCCCTTTCAACAAGTTCTGCTCGGCTCAAAAACTTTCACCCTCTTTGGGGTACAAAGAGATGCATTCTTAACCCCTTGGTTAGGCACAGTGCTTCCCAGAGTCAGGCCTCAAACATTCCTTCTTGACTGTTACTTCAGTTAAGAAGATAGATCCAGCCACAGTTTCTCTCTCTCTCATTTTATAAACGAGCACCCGAGGCCCAGGAAGTTTGAATGCTGTATAAAGCCACGAAGGCAGGAGACCTCCAGGGAAATCCTGGAGCAGCCAATATGGAGTAATCTCCCCCTTTCCACCTTTGGAAACTGAAAGCTACTTTCTGTTCTTATCCTGGAGCACTACTTACAAAACGCTTGTAAGATTTCTGACATTGGTATCCCAAGAGGGGAAAAAAATCACAACTCATTCACTGTTATTTATTTTACTTCTCTGGGTTTGTCTAGTTAAAAGGATCATGATTTACTATTACGTATGAATTTATAAGAAACTTCTCTCTCACTTCAAGGAATATTTTTGGAAAGTACATTTAGAACAATGCAGGATAATACACTTGACCCTCGAACAACGTGGGTTTGAACGGAGCAGGTTCACTTACACGAGGATTTTTTTCAGTTGACCTACCCAATTCATAGCTCAGTTGTTGCACTGCCTGGTCTGCGGCTGGGCACTGGCAGGCGCAAAGGGCTGACTGCAGCTGGAAAGGAAGAGCAGTGCCCCCCACCTCCTGCTTGTCCAAGGGTCAACTGCTTATAATTTGGGGCTTGAACCTTAAATAGTAAGTCTTTTAAGTAGCAAGAAAATATTAATAACTCATGTAGAGTGTCAAATTTTAACACTGCACTAAAAATAGTGAGTCTTTTGGTAGTCTACTCACACAGGTTATTCGAAAAGGATCTTTTGTTCCCCATCATGCTCTGAATCAAATTAACCATCATAAACAGTAATGTAAAACAAGTAGCAAAATGTCCACTTTTTAGAATTTATGATTTAGTATGTAAAGTGCAACATGGGAGAGACTTGCTATACATTTTACATGCCTCGTCTCATTTAATTTTTCAAAGTCAAGAACTAAATATTATGAATTAAAAAATGCAAAAATTGGGGATCGAAGAGGTTAAGTAATTTGCTCAAGGTCACACAACCAATGTGTGGTAGGGCTGGGGTCTACATGTAGCCTGACTTGGTCTTAATCACATTGTTGTAAAAACACCTGGGTGGTTTGTGCGTGTGTGTGTGTGAGTGTGTACGTGCGCTGTATTTGCAAAAGTGACAGAAAGATTAGAGAAGGGAAGGGAAATTTTCAAAAGAATTGAGGATGGAAACTCTTAAAAGTGGAGATTAAAACACTTCAGGCGGTAAAACCAAATGCAACTCTTTTCCAAGGATGTCTCTGACAAAACTTTGCAAAAATAGGATTCCCATCTGCTCTTGGGAAATCTGTGTCCTCTTAACAGACACTGGGAAATTCCAAAAACCCTTCCCTGCCTTTGGAGAAGCTGGGTGCACTGAACTAACACATTTACACACAGCTGGTATCTGGTGACTTTAATGCTTTGTTGGAATTTCAAAGAACATTAATTTAGTTATTTAAAAACATACTTCTAAATTTTTAAAAAATGTAACTTTTTTTTGCAACTGCTTTAGAAACATGCTTAGAATTAGAAATGGCCAAATAACAACTGTTTTCAAAGATATAATTTTATTCTATTCGCGGTGTTCTCAACAGCACCCTCTCCCAGAAACAATCACACACTCAAAACATCAGTGACAACCCAGTGACACTCCTCCCACAATTTGGGTAACACCCTCTTTCGAGAATGGGATGAGGGGCAATGAGAGATCAAGACCTGTGGGAGATCATGGGTGCTAATATGGAATTTTCGTTTTAATTTAGTGAAATTAGCAAGTATACAGTGTAACCACCATTAGTTGTACTATTCATTTTCCCCTACTCAAAAAAAAAAACAAACCCCACCAGATGTAGCCTTTCACTTTAATACAACTTTCACTTATTTCCAGAAGTAAAAAATATGCTAGCATTTCTTCTTTTAGAGAAGGACGTACCCAATAAATTTGCACCGACAAGGGCGCAGTGGAATTCGGCTCTGGGTACCGGAAACAGAGAAGAATTAGCAGAGCTGGGGAAGGCATTTCCACGGCAGGCGGGGACGCAAGGGGGATGCGAGGTCGGTCCCCGAAAAGCAACCCGCAGCGGCGAAGGCTCGGCCGGCGCCCGACCCGCGGCTCAGGTTGGAGCATCAGCCGCCACGGATCGCGCTCTTACCTCGCAGCCCGCGAACCAGCCTCTCAGCCCAGGCCACTCGCAGCGGCTGACCGTCCAGAGGGAGGTGGCGATGCAGCGGGTCCCCACCGCCGGCCGGGCCGGGGCTCGGCGGGCTCTGGTCCTCCCGCCGGCGTCGCCTCCCGCTCGGGTGGCCGGCGCCGTGGTAGCCGCCCAACCCCCGGCCCCGGGCGCCTGCGGAGCTCACGGCCGAGGAGGCGGCCGACCTCCGGCTGCCCGGGCGCCACTCCACGTCCATCTCCACCACCATTCCCCCTTCCTCCCCTTCCACCTCCTCTTCCTCCTCCTCCTCCTCGGCCTCGAAGCCCGGGTTGTCACGGCTCCACGCTTGCCGCGAGCACGACGAGAGAGGAGGAGACGGGGAAGCGGAGGCTCCGGCCGGGGGGTCCCGCGCGGACGCCTGCCGGATGCGCTCCATCTCGATCTCCAGGCCCCTCGGCTCGCGGAGGCCGCCCGGGGCCGCGCCGCCCGCCGTCGGCCGGCCTGGGCCCGCCGCTCCGGGCGCCGGCGGCTGCTTTGCGTCCCCGGGCGGCTGCGGCTGCACGCGGCTCGAGTTCACCATCGCGGTCACTGCTGCCCCGCGCGCCTCCGCCCCGAACCGCGCGCGGCGCTGCCCGCCGCAGGAGCCATGTTCTTTTCTTCCCGGGCCCGCCGCCTGCTGCTCCCCGCCCCCGACCTCCCCGCGGCCCCGCGTCCCTCGCCGGCCCCCTCGGCCCGCCTCCCCCTCGCCGCGCCGCGCCCAGCCGCCCCGGCGCTGGGGGGGGGGGGGGGAGGCGCGAGGGAGCCGCCCCCGCGGCAGGCGCGTCGGGCCAGAGGCGCCCGGGCCGCGTTCCGGAGGCAGCCCGAGCGCAGCGCGCGCGCCCACATTCCATTCGGGTGAAAGGGTTCGGGTGGGGACAGAGGCGCTGACCCGTCCACTCGCCCGCCGGCCCGCCTTCGGGAAAAGGGCACTCGGAGCAGTCACAGTCTCCGCGACCCCGAGATCACGTTTGGGTCCCCGTTAGCTGCCAGTGACTTCTGCCTTGATTTACCAAAGTGGAGAGACAGAGAGAGAGAGTTTCGTGGGATGGTGTGAAATAGTGAAATTCACCCTCAGCTGGGGTGCGAAAGCTTTTCTTCCTCTGAAAACTACCAACTACTAATGTTAACTTCCTTGGCTTTTGACGGCCCTCCTTTCCCATCTTCTGTTGAATTTCGGATTGTTTCTTCAGCCTTTGGTCAACTCCTCTCTCCACCCTCGTGGGACCCCGTGGATTCTGCCTTGGGATTCTCACTCAGATCGCTAGCGTTCCCAGAGTGAGCTCATCCCCCTCCCTCTCCCTGACACCCCTGCAAGGGCCTGCGCTGGCGCCTGAGTAACAGAATCTCTTATCAGGCCCCAGGTCCAGAACTTTATTATCACTCCACTGCACATCCAACTTTTTGCTCTGCAATTGTCTGAAACTTAACTTGCCCCCAAACTGGTTATATTTTCCCTGCTCTATTAAGCCTGCTTCACTTCCTGTATCCCCAGCTGAGATGTGAAGCGTTGTTATCCTCCTCACTTTCTGAATTACACTTCATGATAATCTCATCCCTTCTCATCCTACACCTCCTCTTCCCCAAATCTTATTACTTATGCCCCACAAATGTCTCTCTGGTAAGACATCTGTTTTCTCATTCTCCTTGTTATTGGTTTAGTCCAAGGCCCTCATCTCATGTCTTTTTCTGTTCCACATTGCAACAACATGTGTATCCATTCCACCTCCATTCTCCACTTTCTGGGCTCCAGTGTTTCCAAATTATATTCCAGAACCGAAGCTGCTCATGGCACATTGATGCTTACGCACCTTTGGGAGCTTCTGAGAGTTTACAGGATAAAATTTAACCTCTCTAGTTTGGCTTCACAAATTTTCATGATCTGCTCCTGCACTTGTTTGCTAGTACTCCTGTAACAAAGGCACAGACTGGGTGGCTTAAACAACGGAAACTAGTTTCCTCAGGCTGGAAGTTTGAGATCAAGGTGTTGGCAGGGTTGGTTTCTTCTGAAGCCTCTTGGCTTGTAGATGGCAGTTCTCTTCCGCTGTCCACACACAGTCTCTTCCCTGTGTTGCTGTCTTAGTCTCCTCTTCATACAAAGACACCAGTCATATTGGACTAGAGCCTATCCTGATGGCTTCATTTAACCTTTTATTTATTTTTCTTTTCTTTTATTTATTTATTTTTAGTGAGCGGGGAATAAAGAAAGGGAGAGAAACATTGATGTGAGAAAAAAACATTGATTGGTTGCCTTCTGTAAGCACCCAGAACTGGCAACCCAGGCATGTGCCCCAAACTGGAATCAAACTGGCCATCTTTTGATTTTCAGAATGACACCTGACCCACTGAGCTACACTGGCCGGGGCCTAACTAAAATACTTTTGAAAAACCGTTTCCAAATGCAGTCTCATTCTGAGGGACTGGGGGTTAGGACTTTAATATATGAACTCTTGATGGGGATGCAATTCAGCCTATGACAATTTCCCATCTACTTTTCTAGCATGGTTTCCCATCCTATACACCCACTTGCAACATCTTTTGTTGCTTCCCTATGTGCTAATAGTATGCTTCTTGTATTTAGGTAATCATGGCTACCTATCACCTGATCCTGCCCTTTACCCATCTTTAGCTTAAGGTAGTGCTGGTGGGTTTGGAACACAGGTATGACTCATGCTATCCATCAGTTCATTCTGAAGACCTTTCCTGGGCATACGGAGCAGAATATGAAACAGCTCCTGACATCAAAAGGAGACCGACAAATAAACCACGAATTTCTGTCCTGGGTCAGGGTTTCAATGCCTGCAATCCAGAGATTTGCCAAAGTTTGTGAGGCCCTGCAAAGCACCCCTGGACTGCGCAGTCAGTGGACTCGGAACGGACACTCGGTCAGAGGAGTGCCAGGTCTGAAATGAGAGCACAGAATCTGAGCCAAAACACTGCACTAAAGCTGGAGAATAGCTCTAGTGCAGCGTTTTAAAAACTATCAAAACATTATCAGCATCGCTTGTGGCACTTGTTAAAAATACAGATTCTGGGTCCCCACTCCAAGTCATTGATTCAGAATCTCCGGGATTTCAGGCTGAATCTTCTTTTTAGGCTCTGGGGCACCCTAAGTTTGAGAAGCACCAATATGTCCCTAATGGATGGGCTTTCATGAAACATTTACCCAGTATTCCTAGTGCTTATCACCAGTGATGCCATTACCCAGAGAGATAGAAGAAACTTCAGTTGTCCTTGAGTCAGACTTACTCTTTGCCTTGTGCCTACACAGTGCTAATCCAGAAGCCTGGGTTCAGGTCCTGCTCTACCATGTCCTAGCTGTGTAACCTTGGGAAAATTGTTTTTCTTCCTGTGCCTATGAACATGGAAATAGTGTTCAGGTCACAGGGTTGTTGTAAGGATTAAGTGAATGAATGCAGGCAAGACATGCAGAATGCTGTCTGGCACATGGTAAATGTTCCGTGTTAGCTATTATTAGCTCTTAGATCTTAGTTGTGATAAAAATTTTCATCTGTTTTAAATTGTACATTTGGGAGTCTTTGACCCAGCCAGACTATGATCTTTTTGAGGACAGAGGCTCCAGGCCCACCACAGAGCATTCTACAACACACACTTCTTGGGCAGCTGCTATACTCCAGGCACAATGTTAGGAGAGAATGCAATCAGTGAGACAGGCAAAGAGCCCAGCCCTTCAGAAGCTTGCATTCCCTGAGTATTTGTTGAGGGAATGAATGAATCTAGTGAGGTTCGGTGATTTTGAGTCACACAACTAAAACTTTGACAGAGCCTGGGCTGTCCTAATTCGTCATGTCACTCCCACAAGCCAGCACTGCTGCTCTGGGCTCGAACGGCCCTGGAAAGAATTTGAGCCCCTATGAAGCTATGACAGAGTCACAGCTCAAAATGCTATTTTCAGACTTGTGATATTTGTTCCTAAATATGTTTTTGATTTTCCATAGTTCAAGGTTTAGAAGACAGCAGATTATTGCTTAGTGTGTTGACTTCTTGTTTGTTCTTACTATTTTTTTGCTAGTAGGGCTATAGTCCAGAGACCTACAGAAGAGAATCCTGAATAGGAAAACAACAATATCAAGGAATAACAGAAAACACAAATGAATTTCATTTTATCTATCCATTGGGTTCAAATTATGCACTTTTACTGTGCATAGTAAATAACATTATTTTAGTTAGAATATGCTAAATGGAACAAAATACTATGTGGACAGATCCTTTGAGGAGTCATAATCTCATTGGAGAGATACACATACTTAGTCTAAATAACAGAAGATAGCAGAATTTAATTTAGTATCAAGTCATTAATGAAGGCTTTCAACTCGAACGGGCGTTGAGAAGATAGCCTGCTGGCCTGGAAGGAGAGAGCCCCAGGTGTGTTAAGAAGTACAGACTCTATTTTGTGATTAGTTAGGTCTTTTTAAAAAAACAATGTCAATTATTTAAAACACAATCTGAAAGATTCTTCCCAAGACTATACTCTTCTCCTGAAAAGTGTTCAGGTTGATTGAAAATGTGTCCACACATACATAATTCATAATTAGTTGTGTGCTTACCCGAATTTTAATTACAAATCACTGCAAGATATGTGATTTAAAACATTCACAGCAATATTTGTGTAATGTAGTTTGGTCCATTGTGTCCTGAACCTTGCATTTCAGGACTTTCACTACTGATTTTGGTCTTAGTCTTCATAAACCCTACACCAGCCAGCCAGTGTTTCCCATGAAATGCTATTTGTTTTTTTCTGGCTTACTACTGTTCTCTTCTGTGCTCTTACATCGACACAGTTTTTTTCCCCTTCAGAGCTCCTAGCTTTTACTAAAGCAGTCCTTGAGGCTGTAGATTTCTTCCATATCCACAGAATTCCTTTCTTTCTTTAATATTCATCTTAAAATTCTATATCTCATTTAAAATTTCCCCTTAATAGTTAAGTGAGATATACAAACATATTTTTCCTCATCTGGTTGCCACAATCACATTGCCATATTACAGATGTCAGTGATCTGTAATATGGGCTCGAAATACCCTGTTGGATAGATAACAGCATGGGCTCTATTTGACTTTATCTCATCTATGCGGCAGGTTCTTCTGGGGACTTGAATACAAAGGCCACCTCTTAGCCTCAGTACTACTGTGGACATTCAGAAAAGCTATTTTAAAAGGCAACTTTAAAACAGTCCAATCCGATTTAGCACTTAGTTTTCTTCTTACAGCTGACTTCTATATTATTAGAATTGCCTGTTTGTTTCCTGTTTTGCTTTTATTTCCAGTGTAAACCAACTAAATTGACACAAGCTGAAGAACAAGTTGGCCCCACAGATTCCACCTTCACAAGGAGCCTCTAGCATGTGTGATGTTGCCTAGCAACCCACACAAACAAACATGTTTCTTCCTCAATTATTTTCCCAGTCCTTATTTATTCAAGGAGATTGTAAAATAATTTTTTACCACTTGACATCTGAAATTATTAGAAGAAAATTTGCCATTTGGGGCTTTATAAGAACTGCTATTCATACGAAAACTTTCACTTTATTTCTCTACTGTTGTAATAACAGGAGGCTAAGATTTGTGTTTTTCTTCATGACCGGAGTTTGGTTTGGGTGTGTCCCTGCCTCTGAGAGGGTTATCGTGGCACCA